GGAGACGGAGCCGAGGCTACTTCCCTGCAGCAATAAGGATTTTCCAGGAGGGCGATCCCTTAACAGGAAAGCGGAGGCTCGTCTGGATGTGCGGGCTCGGGTTTTTTGGTCGTGGCAGCAAGACGCTTTTTTTGATGTGCGGATTACTCACCCCGCAGCGTTCGTGTTGTCTCGATCACAAGCCCTGAGCCACCTCAAATCCCAAAAGCGAGCAAAGAAAAAATCAATATGACAGGCAGATTGTTAACGTTTAGCGTGGCTCATTCACCCCACTGGTGTTTTCTACATATGGATTCAGTGGACCTGAGGCCAATCAGTTCTTGAAGTCTTTGGCCTCCCTTTTTGTAGAGCGCCATATTGATCTCAAATACCCCGTTGTCATGGGTATGCTGCGTACCCGATTATCATTTTGCCTTTTGTGGTTGGCAATTACTTGCTTCCGTGGATGCCGTGGCTCGTATAATAAAAGACGTTTGAATCCATTTGTTGCTCAGTGCCGTCAGGCTTGATTGATTGATTGATTTTATTTGGATTCGCGAGACCAAACGAGCAGGAGTGCTCAATAACAGGGTAGCGAATGGTTGAGTTGTGCTATGTGACAATGACAATGTAGTGTGTGCGTGGGGTGGTGGTGGTGGTGGGGGGGGGGGGGGAGCTGCGGAGGCCCAATACAATGTAAGGGGGTGGGAGGAGAGAAGGCCAGCGGAGAGTCAAATGCAGGGAGGAGAGAATAGCTGAAGTACACGGTTACTGTGCGAATTCAAATAAACCAAACAAGCAGCAAAACAAGTACACAGCTCACGAGAATAAAGAGGACTGGAGCACAGAATTGAACTGCTGAAGTACACAGCTGACGAGAATAGAGACAGGAGCACAGAAATGAACGGAAGGCAGTCTACGAAGTGGTGGTACCATCGGTGCATGCACCACGGTACATTATCATATTATCGGCTTTGCAAAGTTCGTGGGTACTGAATACCATGGTATGACCAACTGTGTAGCAGTCTACAACGTGTAGGGAATGGCAGCTCGGCGGAATGCTGGGATGTTGCCCATGGCTCGCACCGTGTCAGGTATATGTATAGGATATTGCACGGTTCCGAGGGGATTATTTTTCAAAAAATGCGCGCCTTGGGGATTATGAAAAATAATCCTAGCGGACACTGTGCAATATCCTGTATAGACCACACTTTTCGGGTGATCAGCAGCGCGAATGGAACACTGAAGTAAGTTCTGACATACATGACATAGTCATTCGCTCGTCGCCTCTCCGGGTTTACATGTAGATCCACTTATTGGTTTGACTGAGGCGAGTGCGGAATGTCACACACTTTCTTTGGTTTGTCTCCCAAGACGAAGCCTCATGAAGTCCGCTGCATGTTGGTAGCTGACAAGACCGTGAGAAAAGGCGGTGCTGATAGTGATCAAGTCAAGACGACGAAATAGTATTATTGTAATCATTTAAAAATAATTTGAGGTGCTTTAATCGTCTAACACATGCTGCGTGGAGGCGATTTATTCCCGGTACAAATCAAAGACTACAATTAACCATTTTTCAGACACTGATGTGCGTCCTATGGCTTAGTCTAATGTTGTAAGAGTACCCGAAATAAGATGGATTGTTTGTGATCGTGTGGATCAAATTAAAATGTTGACAAGACCAGTAAAGCGTGAATGCCACATGTAGAACCAATGACATTGAGTTAGTAGTAGGCTACAGTAACTGTTGCAACGGTTTATCTTTCAGGTCTGTGAAAGAAATAAATTCCAAATACTGTACTAGAAACCAAAGTTTGCATTGAACGGCGATGCTCATTACTATGCGTCTTTGTCATTTTGTGCAATGTTTCTATGACAACTCGTGTGCTGGACGAGTATTTTTGTTGTGATTGGTTCAATTTCTTTTACTCTTCATAGGCTATCGGATTATTTTCCTTATCCGGTCTATTTATGACCAGTATCACCTGTATCTATATGCGAGTGTGGTCCGTCTCTATGGTTACCGGTGTTCGGCACACCCGGTTCATGTAGCATGTTGTAAATTAAGATGCTCTTGTTTGTTGCTGATAGAAAGATTGCCACTTCCCTAGTTTTGTTTCACCAATATGCTTTTCTTTTGATAACTATAGCCAATTCCCCTTTTTAGACCTTATCTGGAAGGCCCATTCTTGCATATTCAAACCGCAGCCAAGGGAGCTAGCTCTCTTGGTTATGCTGGTAGAAGGACTGGGTTCGACCCACCGTCCGAGGGGATCCACAGGATTTCCTGTGGATATGAGATCCCCTCGTATGAGGGGATTATGACTGAATTTATGAGCCATAATCCCCTCAAACGAGGAGATATATCCGTAGATCACCTGAAAAGGGTGGTCAATGGTTCCATAACAGGCAGCCGCGAGATGCCGGTCGGCATTGGCCTGCTCGGCTTCTGGCTATTGGTTGTTGCAGGCCCAGACTGCGCTGAAGGCGAGTTGCTCCACAGTTGCGAACAAACAGTGCCTGCAGAGCAAGACTGGCACGGTTATGAACGCACCGCCATACCAGCACGAGCAGTTTCTGGCGATATAGGCACTTGACCTGGGCAGAATATCACCTGTCACTTTAATAATTATGTGGGATTAATAAATAACATTAGACAATTATTATTATTATTATTAAATTTTGATAGGGCAATCCCCACAGGCCTAAGGCCTTTTGACAGGGTACCCTACAATATCTTTTTCGTACAATATCAGCAATCATCCAATATTTATCTGGCACAATAATATTAAGTAGAGGTTGCGACTTCGGCGATGATTTTGTTTAGGAATGGGTTTGCTCCCACACTGTGGCTCGCGCTATTCCGCCGACGACTTGACACTTGACAGACTCACGACTGCCATCCGGAGCACACGTGGAGCACTTCGCACCTTCCACTCGGCAAACCTGCAAGAAAGCACCACTCCCTGCTCAATACACAGTGTTTCGGGGAATTCACCCCTCATCAGTTGAGCTTGAGTAGGCTGAGGAAGATTGTGCCTGAAGAGCACCATTTATATAGTGCTGTCCAGGCACAAACATCACCACGGATACAAACTTACAGAGACATTCCGTTTCCAGCGCGACAAACACTTCGTGAACACCAGATAGCAGCGTGAGTCAGTTATCGCTCCTGGACGGTGAGAACAGACGTAGAGGCCCTCGGTCATTCACTACGCTGCACAATCTTCCTCAGCCTATTCAAGCTCAACTGATGAGGGGTAAATTCCCCGAAACACTGTGTATTGAGCAGGGAGTGGTGCTTTCTTGCAGGTTTGCCGAGTCGAAGGTTCGATGGGCTTCTCGTGTTCTCTGGATGGCAGTCGTGAGTCAGTCAAGTGTCAAGTCGTCGGCGGAATAGCGCGAGCTCCAGTGTGGGAGCAAACCCATTCCTAAACAATATTATTCTTTTAAATTTAACTCAATCCAATGGTTTCCCGACTAATTGACATATTCATTGATGATAATCTACTCAAATCTGTGGACAGCAACTGTTTCGCTCTGTTAGAGCTCCTCAGCACAGCTCAGAGGACCGAAGCGCAGCTCTTCGCAGTGAAAATACGTTTCCGTGAAGCAAAGCATTTTTATAACGAGCTGCAAACCCCGCCAAGAGTGCTCGAAATGCTCCAAGAGCAGTGAGCGTTGCACAAGGCGAGCGGCAAGGGCTCGCGCTAAGGTAAGAGTACTCAACCTAACGACATTGCTGACGCTAGGGAGCATAATACTAAAATCTGTGGACAGCAACTGTTTCGCTCTGTTAATAGAGCTCCTCAGCACAGCTCAGAGGACCGAAGCGCAGCTCTTCGCAATGAAATACATTTCCGCGAAGCAAAGCATTCTTATAAAGAGCTGCAAACCCCGTCAAGAGTGCTCGAAATGCTTCAAGAGCAGTGAGCGCTGCACAAGGCGAGCGGCAAGGGTTCGCGCTAAGGTAAGAGTGCTTAACCTAACGACATTGCTGACGCTAGGCCTAGGGAGCATAATACTTGATGATAATCTCAGTGTCTGCTCTAGGATTGTAGGACAGCCGGGTACACGTGTACCTGGCGCAACCATTTCAACCGGGTCCGAGCCGGGTACACATGTACATGTACCTGGCGCTGTCTCACCAGCCGAGTCACATGATTTAACTGGTTGGTTGCTTTATTTTAATTCGGACAATAAACGGGAACTAGGCCGAATGATATAAACTTATTATAAAGGCGAATGGATAAGCCGAATTTAGAAAAGAGAGGACAGGAATTAGAAAATTAGGAAAGAAGAAGAAGTATCTGTCACATACAAGCCATGTAGTCAGTCCTTTCAAAGTTCGAAACTGTAAAGTACCAACCGGGTCACAGGTGACCCGGTACTATATTTTCAACCGGGTCCAAGCGCCGCCCAACCGGGTAGATTACCCGGCTCACCCGGCGCTGGAGCAGACACTGAATCTATTTTAGTTTTCTCTGGATTGCCCGTAAAAGAGGCCCTTCTCTATGATATGATGCATGGCTCCACCTTTGGCTGCTGGATGCTAGCCCATTGGGTGCCAATCGCCGGACTTCGGCCGAGTGCTGATGGATAAATCGCTGTCGGATGCCATGAGGTATGACATGACGGTTTGAAGGAGTACGCCGGCAGGTGGATCGGGGAGTTCGTTATAGTAGCAGCCAGTCCAACTCTGACAGGTTGACGGCTACTCGGAATTATTTGACAATTCCTGAGTGACACCGACGGTTGGCGAGCGAGTGTTGATCAGCTCAAGCCAGCTAGCTACTCCGAGTACGAGTACTCGTCAACCGTCGCAAGGTTCCGGGCCAAACAAAACACACAGGCCTAGGCCAGGGCGAACATTTGAATGGAAGGAAGTGCACGTACGTCAGATCCGTTCCTATACACGCGAAGCGCAGCCTCCGCACACCACCCAGTGCATCCCGTACTTCTTGCAAACATCAAGCCATATCAGTCCCAGGCACGCAAAGTCACACACACACACACAGTGGTTTGGCACTTCGCCGCACTTTGCGTCTGAGCGTCCACAGTGGTCCAAGCAAGTTAGTTTGTAGTCCGCATGGTGCTACAGGTCCTCCGTGCAAGTAAGTTCCTTACTCTCACTACTACTTAGACTAGTACGGACAGTGCGTTTCTAGAGTTGGTGTCGCAGAGGGAATGCACCTGTTTGCTCATTGTCGGGAAGACTTCTCTCCGTCGGCAAAATAGAAGAGCTACTCATATAGTTGTCCCTCCGGAGTTGCAGTTCTTCGCAGTTACGCAAAGCAAGAAGACAAGCGAATTGGATAGAGGTAAGAAGAAGTGTGTGACTTGGAGTGAGCCATAGGGCATTGATCACCTCCCTCATGGGTGGGTGTATAATACATATCATGGCCTATTTAGCTCATAGCTGTACTGATGAGGCCGTTATGGCCGAAACAGCTTGCTGTCTACAGCAGTGGGTATTACGCTCCTCGGCTTTCGTCTTGCTGAGCACTCTTGGTAGACTGCTCTAGTGCTGCGGCATCACGCATTGCCCGCTACTTTTCGTACTTGTAGTTTGAGCACTCTGGCGCTAGAGCGGCGAGCTATATTAATGTCTACGATGCCTCCTTTGCACTATGGCTGGCAGCTCGGTCTATTTAGCTCGTAGCTGTACTGATGAGGCGTTTATGGCCATGGAGGTTGTAGGTACGCCTGTCAGCCCTGGGTTCCCAGTACTCAGCAGCCGAGGCTGGTTGGTAAAGTAACTCCAATTTAGCTTCAATGTACCAGCATATCTAGTGTGTGCCGCTATCAAACCAGCGTGCTGTATATACTGGCTACCTAGTCCAGTGTAGGCTGTGCATAGGTACCTGTCCTGGCCGTCCTATTACCATGTACTCCGTGTGCCGTGTGGTGTAGACCAGGTGTGCATAGGTACCTGTCCTGGCCGTCCTATTACCATGTACTCCGTGCGCCGTGTGGTGTAGACCAGGTGTGCATTGGGGGTTGACATGACTTCGCCAGATGTGTGTATTAGGCAGTTATCTGGCGCTAGACTTGATCGGTTTCATTCAGAATCAGATCCTCAATCGTTGCTATAAGTATAAGAGAAAATCTGTGGGTGCACATCCAGTGCATTTGCTGATTTGCTTGCTTCTCTTGCAACAGGCGTATACATGGCACATGGTGTGTGTGTGTGTGTGTGTGTGTGTGTGTGTGTGTGTGTGTGTGTGTGTGTGTGTGTGTGTGTGTGTGTGTGTGTGTGTGTGTGTGTGTGTGATGTGTGTGGGTGTGATGTGTGTGTGATGTGTGTGGGTGTGATGTGTGTGTGTGATGTGTGTGGGTGTGGCTGTCCAATGCCACTTCAAGGTTCTGTACACTGTCCCAGTGAATCTAGTGTCTGCTTCTATCAAAGCAGCGTGCTGTCTACACTGGTTACCCCAGCAAGTGTAGGATGTGCATAGGTAACTGTCTTGGCCGTCCTATTCCGATGTACTCCGTGTTCTGCAGACCAGACTCTCAACAGTAAAATTCTAAAAAATAAATGAAAAGAAACTTCTTTTTTTGTTTTTTGTATATTATACGGTGTAATATGCATTTACTTGAAGTAGATGTGGTCAAGTATGCTAACATGTATGTGTACATGGAATATGCATGAATATATTTGGGTATTGTGTACATTAATTAGTGAAATCCAGCCATATACACTGTATGCACATAAAAAATGATATCAGTTATCCAACATGCCTGATTCCCGAAATGGTCGGATAAGTGACATTCGACTGTACATGGTACATGTACATGGTTTGTGTGTGTGTCACCTAGTTCGGTTGGTATGTACACTCTAAAAAGTCAGATAGTGTTGGGTTTGTTCCCAAAGGGCTCGGCTGCTTGAACGTGTATTGTTCTACCTATCACCGGTGCTGCCAACTTTCCATATTTTTCCGTATTGGTACGGAAAATCACTCCTTCGTCCGCACTACGGAATTCGAGACGAATGGTACGGAAAATTGAAGAGGCCTATCGATCAGCTACAGTTATGTGCGTAGAAGCATGGCAAGGGCAAGCTGAGTGATGAATAACCCTGCGAGTGATGAATAACCCTGTGCCAAAGCGAGTGGATGTACATGTAACACAACAAAATTAATTATGTCATGGTACAAGTCACACATTTTTTGAACTGGCAAACCCAGCCCCCCACAAGCATGTGAGTGTGGAAAACCACAATACCGGTATTGTACAAGCAATGCACCCAGCAATGGTGTGCTCCTATATCAGCGAAACCTATTTCAGCGAGGTTGACACCAGCGCCCCTCTCATGAGCATACCCCACGTCGCACCGGACTCAATTCGGCATGACCCGAATCGAATGTCTCCTATTAAAGCGTGACTCAAATAGCTCCTGACTCAACTCCACTTATTTCAACTCAAACTCAAAATCTCATGAGGCAGAGAATAAACAAAATAACATTATTACGCTACTGAAGCAAGTTATGCCCAACACCGTTGAGGAACTCCCGCACAGTGATCTCTTGATCTTCGAGTCTACGCTGTAGCGTTGAGACTCGGGCGTTCAGATGCGCATATTTCCGTACAATCCGGTGTGTCTGTTGGCCCGCTGCTATTTGGTGAAGAGCAGTTTCCGATGATGCTTGCTCTTTTTGCAGCCCTTCATTGAGTCGCCACAAGTCCGGATGGAAACGTCTAACTACTGAGGCGAACCGTGTGTGCCATCCTTCGACGTGGTTGTTCGTTCGGGTTCCAAGATGTCGGACGTTCCATCGAGACAATGGACACCCATCGATCCAATTCGTTGCAAAGTACTGAACCTCTACGTTCAGTAGCGCCAAATTCTGGTGCTGTTCTTGTCTCAGATTGTGGAACATCCTATCCATCAACGAGAACAGCAGCCACGATTCCAAACGCCTGATACAACCCGACACAAGACATACGGCCCCATTCTATTGCCATCATAATATTGGCATCAATGCCCCTTCGGTTTGCGATGTAAAATAAAACTTCAAACAAACAAACAAACCCTCCGCCTTCCTTTTGTTTAAGTTACGTGAAAAACCATGCCTTAGACTTAGACTTCGAGCTGCGAACACATCGTCCCGTAATACATGTACATGTACATTGTACACTGTAGAACAAGAAGACTAGCCCGAACGTAAGAAATTACAGTGTAGGTACTTTGGTACAAGATCAAGAGAGTAGACCACTTCCTCTCGTCCATCCCGTACGCAAATCCATCATGTATATTGTTCTGCTGTCTCCTCATTGCGTCACCATGGTTACCGTCAATAACGCCCACTCTATGTCTTCAATGTTCTCAGCAGCCATTTTCAAGGAATTGAGCCGGTTATATTGTGTAATGTATGAAATAGGTTGCGCTATGTTAGCACAGACCTGAAATGGCGGGCGCTGTGTTAGGCCGATTCCACACTACACCAAATCCTGCCTAAAAGCCATTTTTCAGGCACTTTTCAGGCAAGTTGCCATGGCGATCACTTTGAGAAACGCGCGAAAGTGAAAAGTGCTTGTTGTCTACAAAGCAACACCAGCACCCTCTTTCAAGGCAACTTTTTACCTTTTCAGGACACTTTCTGACTTTTCTTCAGCCTTTCGATTTTTTTCCGAATGTGTTCCCTGTCGTACATGTATGTGTTTCAGTTGTGGTGAGTTGTGAGCTGTCAATAATGCCTAGGGTCATGTTTAGCCAGGAGCTTGAGGGCAAGCTGATCGAGCTTTGGAGCGGATATTTGAGGCGACCTCCGGCCGGTACAGTTCGCAGGAGCTACGCCGGAGGAGATCGCCATCAAGCTGAATTTGTTTGCTGAACAGCTCCGGGAGAAGGCAATATACTGCGTCGATCGTCCATTCCAAAATCGACAACATGAAAACGAAGGCGAAAGGACTGTACGAGATATACACAACGAAAACTGCCACCGGAATGTCTGTTGGCGAGGTTGACAAATATTCGACCTATGATCTGGAATCCGCCTACACAGCGCGCGCTAGCGTGGTCAAATTTCAAGATTGGGCACGCGAAAATGGGTGATATTCGAGGATTTGGCCCAACAAAGAGCCTCTCCACTACCGCCGTTGCTAGATCAAGCACAGGAAAGCCTCACAGTCTAACCTTCAAAGCAAAGTCCCGTGATCGACACTTGTAGGTGTGAATGCAGCTTCACTTTATAAGCCACTTTATGCCTTCAAGGCAAAGCCACTTTCGGCGTAGTGTGGAATCGGCCTTAGGACAAGGGTGAAATGGGGTGCGCTGAACTAAGAGTGCTGAAACGGTCGGCTGATATTGATGGTGCTGAACTGGGTGACAATCCCAGCAATATTATATAATGCAAGTTACAGAGAGCTGAGTCCTCCCACCATGCGAGTTTGGCATTTTTTGCACCCACCAGACCTCAAACCTTCACAGATTCCTTCCTATGCTGCTGTATAAATACCATACTAGCTGTGCATCACTGTAATCAGTTGTCTGAAGATTGCTATATGGCATGAAACTTTAAGTTACGACAATCAAAACGCGTGGTTTTCTGTGACTCGTGTATAATGCAAGTTACGTAATGAAGGCAGTGCGTCGTGCACTGACCCATAACCACAGTTGCATATTCTTGTGTATGCCCTCTTGATAATAGTTGATACAAATGTTGAAGCGGAATATTGCTTTCACTGTTCCTGAATGCGTCAGATCTTTCGGTGGTAACCATGGTAACTGTTGTGCTCCAGGAACTCTGATTTGGTAACTGATTAGTTTGCTTGTTCGCGTTGACATCACCAAGCAAGCTTGGCTAGTCTTCGCATAAGCCAAATGAACTAAAGAAAAGAGTACTGAACGAGGCCAATGAGGTGAACACACGCGTGCAACGGCAGAAAAGGCAAAAGGAATAAATAAGACCATCCTAAAAACACACGAAATGTCAACTTCAACAAAAAAAACTGGAAACGGATGAATACAGCTATCATAACAGCTGACAGCACTGAGTGGCAAAGCGTCATAACACGAGAGCATACATGAGAGTACAATTCTACTTACTGTATAGACTACGACCGAGAACCAAGTAATCGAAAGCTACACAACATGGGTACCGGTTAACTATTTTCGCATGTACAGATGCAAAAAGGTTCGAATGTTCAGGAAAAAGACATTACTTGCATGACACATTGGCAGGACTGGACGAACAAGCCAGACTTCAACTTTCTGCAGCCATTGCGTTGCTGGTGTCGGGGTGGCAGTTTCGTTACTGAGGCTGTACAGTACACGTCGTCGAGCTCGGCTAGCCACCGCCAACTACATAATATTACATGTACTAGTATGCGCAACCTCGGCCACGCGCTCGCATCAGCTCCATGCCCGCGTTGACGGAGCTCCGGGTGCCCAACCAGCCGAACAGCTGCACGTCGCGACTCAACACTGGCCGTCCTTGCGCTCTCATCCCTCGCTCCCTTCCCCCCTTCTCTCCATTTGATAAAATGTTCACTCTCCCAAAGGAGAGCACGGAGAAACGTTACTTCTCCAAACAAACTAACTATTGAAACTGCTATTTAAATATAATTCCAATGGGAACTGCAGATTCATTGTCTGCTAGTAGGGTCGAGCGGATCGGCATTTTATTCGGCATTATGGGTCTATCGGAAAATCAGAGTATTGTGGAGCATTAGAAAGGAACAAAACGAGAATATTATGAGATTTGAACGGCTTTGGGGGCTTCATAGTGGATAATATCGGGAAATCCCAGCTTTTTGGCAACAGTCGGCTACACTCATGAGGTAGGTGCAACCCTCCTCATGTTACCAGGTTACCTGATCGTGGATCCCTTTGCGTAGACACGTAGCACTGTTTAGCACGTGATGTACAGTAGCCATGACTACGGTATCTACGTCCGCCCAACCAAAGCTGTTGCAAAAATCGCAACAAAGATTTGCAAGGAGGAAAATGTTTTTTTCGAAAACGCAGAGAGGCATGGAGACGAAGTAAATATCGAAAAGCCGAAGAGAAGATTTTCGTTGTGCCTCAGGCTCTGAAGATAGCGTGACTAGGCTAGTAGCAATACTGACGTAGATGCCGATCCTTTGATAAATTTGGACCAGGCTGAAAGAGCAGCTACAAGCAGAAAATATGCATGTTGTTCCGACGAACTGCCTTTTCGGAGTCCAGCCGAACTGGCTCGAAATTTCTTAGTCGAAAGGAGCTAGAATTACTCATGGATTCAGCACCAAGTCGTTATGAGCATTCCGCAGCAGCGCGTGTCTGAGTTTCCTGGTGAAACACGTACTTCGAAGTACAGATAGATGTGGAGGTGGAGAGCTGTACTCCCAAGACAGCAGTGACTGAATCAAGTGCTATCAACAAAGAAGAGTATTGCCACCCAGTTGTCTATGCAACATCACAAGGAGAAGAGGACTATAAAAGTAAAGGAAGTAGAGCAGCAAAATAATCAGGCCACATTTTTTAACGCTCATCGCAAATAGAGCTAGGGGATGCTGAAGACGCTGCGAGACGGAGACAACTTGCTGGCTGCGCATTCCGGTCCATGTACCTCATCTAGTTCCGACGAGGCGAAATCAGCGAGCGTCTCAGGCTGCGACTGTATGAGGCGTACATCATACCTGTCCTCACGTACAACAGTGGCACCTGGGGTCTTTGCAAAACTGAAATGGTGTGAATGGACAGTTTCCACCGACGACAGCTACGCTCAATCATTGACATGCATCATCCCCGGCACATATCGAATGAGACCCTGTACAGGAGGTGCAAAACCCAGCCATTAAGCGTCACCATCAACCGCCTGCGGATCGAACTCCTTGGGCACGTTCTGCGCTCACCAGTCGACACCCCGGCACAACTCGCTATGGGTGCGTACTTCCGCCGGGCCAGTGACCCGGCTGCACAACGCTTCCGCGGCCGGCCGCGTACCACCCTTGCAACCACCGTCATCGCCGACCTGACCAGCCATGGTATCCCCACCCGGACGCAGACCGATCTTGAGACCTGGCGCACCAGAGCCCAAGACAGAAAAGGCTGGCGCACCCTGAAGGCAACTTGCCAAAACCAAACTGTTCAAACCACTCCAGACCGAATATTCAGAAATGACGAGACAACTCACCAGCTATTATCAATGAACTAATAATTTTCACCTTTCTGTAGTGCATCCAATCGATCCCAGCTATTCTGCTCTACAGCATTGTTCCTCAAGATGGTGAGCTTTCTGTTTGTCTTTCTCTTTATCATCATCCTGAATGGCACAAGTGAAGTAGGCATCCCCGCTTACAGCGCGATAGTGCTTATAATAATAATAATCGCAAATAGAAGGGATGTGCATCCAAGATCAGCCTAATACCTGCTGTTTCAGGTGAAAGACTATTCACAGAGCCAATGCAGTAGCAGCTTGCCTGTAGGCAGGACTACCAGTTGCCATGATAACCCTCATCCGAATGATTCCTAGCATAGTTTATACCAGTCACTCCCTGGGTAATGCCGGGATATTATATGATACACACTACACTGGATTCAGCCATAGTCCTGCGTCAAAGCTGCAGTGGCGAGCAGCCACTGGCAAATTATGTCTTATAGTGCTACAAGGTGGTGTAGCTTGTGGAAAATATTGCACCGGATTCAGCGGCAGATTTAACATGTACAGTCTTTTTTTCCTTTCTAACCCAAACCAAGAGCATCATAGCCCTTGTAGAAGCATTATAATCAGCATTATGAGGTAGTTTTGGGAGCATTATGATTAGCGTTATGTATGTAATCAAGCATGCTCAGGAGATCATAATGGCTGAATCTTGCTGAGCATGCAGCCCAAGGGCGTAGGCCCGAGGGCTGCAGGCAAGGGCAAGATTCAGCCATCATGACAGACAGAGCGTGCTTGATTTGATTTCTTACAGCGCGAAGCAACGTATTAGGGAAGGTCAAAGGTCAAAAAATGATTCCCGAAATGACGTCAAACGGTCGTGACATTACCGAAATGATGTCAAACGGTCCTGAACTCCCGAAATGACGTCAAACGGTCCTGATGGCCTGATTATGCCCGCCTGTCACCTATTCAGTATTGGCCATGTCCCCGGCAACGATCACGTGTCATGTAAGAAGTATGTAATCAAGCACGCTCAGGAGGTCATGATGGCTGAATCTTGCCCTAGCCTGCAGCCCAAGGGCCGTAGGCCCGAGGGCTGCAGGCAAGGGCAGGATTCAGCCATCATGACAGACAGAGCGTGCTTGATTTTTCTTACATCGCGAAGCAACATATTAGGGAAGGTCAAAGGTCGAAAGGTCGAAAAATTATTCCTGAAATGACGTCAAACGGTCCGAACATTCCTGAAATGACGTCAAACGGTCCTGAAACTCCCGAAATGACGTCAAACGGTCCTGATGGCCTGATTATGCCCGCGGCGGGAAGATCGCCTATTGGCCATGGCCCCGGCAATGATCACGTGTCATGTAAGAAGCGAACATTTCCGGAGCATTATCCGCTGGACCCTATCTGCTAGTATTCCACTAAACCCACTTTACCCTCTCAAAGTCTGCGTTACTAATAACGACAAGCATTGCTACGTGTATATGTAGGTAGATTTGTTTCTGTGCATATACTTGTGTGTGAATGCGTGTGTGTATGGGCCCATGGTACACATATGTATGCATGTGCGTGAACTCGTTTGTTTGAATATTGTGTTCACATGCTTGCATTGTGTTCTCCATAACAGTATTCTCTGAGCTATTCAAGCAAAACTAATAACAAAATGGGACCATGGAAAAAGTTTGCAGAAGCCCACGAAACTAACAGAGTGATTTTCGGGCAAGATCACCCCTTAACCCCCTTCCCCCCCCCCCAATGAACATATTTTTGCAATTCAAGTTTTGCACCCTGCATGCATGTGTACATTTGTGCTTTGCAATTTTCAAGTGCAAGCCCCTCCCTCCCCATCCCAGAACCAATTTTGTTCATTTTGTAGGCTTCTGGAATTCTGTGAAGTTTTGCAATGGTCCCTAAGAAAGACAAAAACAGAACCAGTGACGTGTTTACACTCTCTGTTCATGTCACTAATATTCTTAATAGGATACATGTGTGTATCTTTGTGTCGGCTGATGTTCAATTAACCAGGCAACACCGAAACTGTTACCTAGGCAACACCGAAACTGTTACCCAAGGAAACGACGGAATTGTTACCCAGGCAACATGAAGACATCATCTGCTACTAGTCTCTTGCTTTTCTCTCTGTGTCTACTGGGAAGTGTGATATGCATTGCCGGTGTTGGTAAGCTACATGTGTTATTATGTTAATTTTATTTCAAAATTCTGAGGGACGCCTCACTCCGCTCGGAAAGTGATTAGATTATGCTCTAGCAGATGCTCGCAGGATGCTCGAGAAAACAGCCAATTATGCTATTACCGTAGTTTTTGGAGTATAGTGCGCACCTTTGTATAACGCGCACCCCCAATCTTCATTGGGGGTGCGCACTTCAATATTCATTGATGTACATGCATTTCATATTCGGAGCATAGTGCACACCTGCGATTTCGGGCCTAAAATAGCACATCTAAAGTGCGCACTATACTCCGGAAAATACGGTATATGCTTCACCAAAACGACCAAAAGAACAGGTAATCGTCATGAAAAAAGGACTCAGAGCACTGTCATGATGTGGACTGGGAGCTTTGTGGAAGTACAAGACAATTATATGCAAGAGGAATGCCAAAATTCAAAAGCAAACGCACTTTTGGGACATGTCCTGTAGTGGCTTTATTCTCCTTCTCAAAAGGGACCTGATTATGCCAAAATTTATGACTTCAATTATGCCTTGAATAAAAGGTGTGTATAACAGCCTCAGTGGGCATCTGCCCTTGTTTTCCGAATGCTATTTTATGCTCTTTTCAAAAAGGAGCTGATTATGCCAAAAATTATGCCGGCATAATCCGCTTACCCCTACTCAGCTTCGTTTGATTTATTCATAGGTGACTGGAAATTCACTGCAGGATGCAGTGATGTCTGCGATGGAAGAATAGGGCGGTCGATATGTGGAGCAGACAATCAGTGGCTCCGAGAGAAGGGAGCTCAAGCAATTGGACTCTTCAGTGGGGCTAATGAAGTTTGCACGTAGCTGGATTTTCCTAGCAAGGACAGCAATGCTGCCATGACTGCACTGCTAGCAGGAAGTTTGTGGCCAGTACCGCGGGAAGCATGTATACCTGGTGATGAAGAATGGGGATAACGGACTGTCACGGAGGCATTATTATTTTTTATTATATATATTTGAGGATTTCCCAAAGACTTAGTCTAAATTGAAGGGAGTTCCATTATAATGGGAGGCTGTAGGGTTGAGATAGCAGAAAGTGGATGGCTAATGAACAGCCTAGCTAGAAAAATACATATAATATTATTATTCCGGTGAATGTTCCAGAATGGTCCTTTACTCAATAATACCTATAGCCTCGGGTATGCGTTGAAATACTTTGAAGGACGAAATATACCGAAACAGAAACACAAAATAAGAATATGTGCAGGGCTCAAAGGAGGAGGACAGAGGCATGTCAGTGAGGAGTGGCATCGTGTTTGGTGTCAGAGAAGTGCGTGCAAATGTGACTGTGAAACAGGGACTGCGAGACTGTGGCTCTCACTCTGCGGGCAAGGCATCCCAGACAGTAGCTATGCGGAAGAGAAATGACCTCCTGGCGTGTTTCCCAACCCGTGGCAGAGTGAATGCAACTTGGCGGCGGCGACTACGAGTAGGGCAGTATCCTGCTGCTTCAAAATGTTCTGGTTGGGTGGGGACTAGACGGAAGAATTCCATAAGGCAGGCGATCTTCCTACGCCAGGATAGACTTGGCCACCCCAGCTGTTTAATTTAAACAATGATGACTGGGGCTCGTCTGATGGGCAAGGGCATCTCTCAAGCCGCATGACTGTGCGAGCTACTCTGGCTTGCAGCCAATCAAGGGTGAGCCGCTGTGCAGCAGAGAGGGTGGACTCCCAAACTGGGGCGGCGTATTCTGCTGTGAGGCGGACATAAGTAAGGTACAGCTTCCTGATGATGTCTCCTGTTAAATGGTCAGCCATATGGCACACAAGAGCACAGCGCTTTCTAAACTTGCTTATTGTCTGTTCAATATGCTCCTGGAAGCTAAGTGTTTCACTCAACAACACTCCCAGGTGACGGTGACTGGTTGACCGATGGATACCACGGATGGTCTCTGCAGCTCCTTCCTCAGCAAATGAGATAACAACGGTTTTCGATGGGTTGAAGGTTCCGCCTACTCGGTCAGCTCAGGAAAATGTGGCCTGCAGGGCAGTCTCCATTGGGCTGGTACCTTTGGTTCGTGCTTTGCCGACGGCGGGATCATCCGCGAACAGGTAAACATCCCCCTGCTGGTTGCGTTTCGAGGCACTGGGTAGGCTGTTGATGTGTACCAGGAAAAGCAATGGCCCGAGGTGGGAACCCTGGGGTACTCCAGACTTGACGGAACGTGGGGAGGACAAATGGCATAATGATGTCTGGTACCAAAGTTTGTGCAAAGATGCTGAGTTCATGTAGCAGTACCGTGTTGGTTATGGAGCGACAGTTTATTGATAGAAGGGAGTAGTGGGGGATGTGGTTGCATGGCGAAGTGGTGTTAGGCCCCTTGCACACTGCGTAGAGAACCGCTTGTTATAAAAGACTTTTAAGTTGTCATGTCAACTGACGTCATTTGGCGGAAAAAGTAAAAAATACATGTATCGAAAACGTATTCAGCAGACCGCGGACGGGTATCTCTTTGTCAGTCAAATCCTCTTTAAAGGATTTCCCAATTTTTGGGAAAGGGTAGATCACACCTTCCAAAGTAAAATTCTTTCTTCAAAACCTGTTTGAGTGTGCATTCTGTGTTTATCACAGATGATGTCTGCGAAGTTTCACCAGCACAAGGGCTTTACTTTTTCTGTAACAGGCCCTCTTGTGCAAAGGTGTCCGGAATTTTCAAAATCGTATAAGGAGTTGGCCTCTTCAAAATTTGGTTTTGTACTTCCTAGTTTCCCCCGCCAATAAAAACCCTAGTTGGTAATATCCAAGCCTAGACGTGGCCCATATGGAGTTAACAAAACAATTCTATGCACCTCCTAGGCTAGTACCCCAAGAGTATTCCACTATTAGTATGTGTACATATTTTAACACAACTGATTTAGTAGATGCCCCATACATGTAGTGTCTCTAGTTCATATTGATCTGCGAGCACTTTGCAACACGACTCCAATGCTACGATGGTGCTAATATTCATCTATTCCACTCCCAGTCTATTTATACGACTTGTAATTGCAATTCGCCAGCAATAATTGCACACACAGACCTTTCCTGGGGTTCTTAGCCATTGGGTAACCTCTATTCATTCATGTTAAAGAAGGAGATGCATTGTACAAGTAGGAAAGATCCGAAATGCATCTTCAATATCATTGCTTCCACTTCGACCTTTTTCGAGGCTGCAAATGCGTCTTGAAGTTTAATCCTATATCTAGGATTAACTGGTGACGGACAAAGAGATACAAGGTTGCTTTTTAGCTTTTAGCCAGTCCTACTCTTTCGGATACACATGTAGCAACTTCTTTCTGTGTTTTCATACCTTTTGCTGTTTTGGCGGTGTGTGGATGTCTGTCGGCGTCCTGTTTCCTGCTTCAGCTTTCCATGGGAATTTTTGGGTGCAAACTCTTTTTGTTCAGACCGTAGAAGACTGTACTGTAGTTCTTCTTTGCTGAGTGTGACACGATGCAAAGCAATCCACAGCTGTATGTAACAGTACCGTTCTGCAACAGCATGGCGAACATTGTCGGTAGCTTGAAACTTGATCATCTGTGATCGATCGCCTTGAAAATTTCAAATGTCAAGGACAGGGAAATAGACCGCCATTTAACGATATTAGTAGCTTCTGGAGGTTCTGCAACATCAGTGATCATGGCGGCAACAATTCTACGTTGCCTCCATCTCCTTGCCGGAGTCAACCTGAGGTTCATGAGTATGGGTACAACATGAACGACACTTAACGAAGTAAAAGACAACAAACAGAAAGCATCTCGTTTTTGTATCGAATCTTTTGAATTTTCAGTCGTTTTCTTCAGTCAATGAACACGTAAAAAGCACATCCTTTGTCAGAGTGCCACTGCACATGAACAGGTTTACGCATAGGCTGCGCATGCGCAAGTTGGTTGCATTCTACATGTACGTAGTGTGCAAGGGGCCTAAACATCCTAAATTTATTTTCATGGTTCTCGTGAGACTGGGCTGGAAGTCGAGTTTCCCGCATTCGTAGGAATGCCACCACCCTCAATGGATCAAGGCGCAGATGCAGCTCCTAAGCGGTGGGAGGTGAATAGATCAGACCCACCACAAAGTGGACAAAGACTGAAATCCCATAAACTGCATCTATGGGGGAGGAGGGGGGTACGGTTTGGTTGAGTAGCACCATGTACAGAGGGTGGAAGAATGGCGGGGCAATATGTTGGTGTGTGTATTTGTGTGTGTACATGTGTGTGTATGCGGGGTTGAAAAGACACTAACGTGTCTGCACGAAGCGAAATGCAGTGTCAGAAAGGGCCTTGTTCACACTCTGGTATCAATGGCGGAGGAATTTTAGACTGCCTCTCTGTCTTTCTCAGTCTCTCTCATTCTCTCTCACATTTTCTCCCTCTCAATTTCTCTATCTGTCAATCGCTCTTCATCTCAGTGTATGTATGCGTGCACCTTCCCGTTCAGATGTCAATAGGCACATTGCTACCCCTACCTTCGTGGAAAGTGGGACCGTGTTGTCAACATTTACACTGGAAAAGGCCCACATGGCAACACCATTCGTAGCAGCGGGTTATGCTATACAACAGACAGGCCATCCAAACATGGTTGACTTTGTTACGACTAAGGATGTTGCTGTGAACAGCAAGATAACCATTATAGCAGTGGTAGAGGATGCAGAGCGCACTAGCTACACCTTTCGACTCGACTTGATTTCCCGAGCTGCACCTATTGTGACACAAGAGAGATTGTCCGTAACCCTGTCTCAGCTTTTCCTTGATGGGATTTCCATCAGCACAAATCTATCCAAGCCGGCAACACTCATTCGTAACGTGAGTGTGTTGCTTAGCAACCCAGCACTTCAAAATGTAACAGTAACAGCCATGGGAAAGGATGTCAAGATGAAGTGGGAGCTACCAAGTGCTGACCTACAACTGGACAATCCGTTCACTGTCAACGTAATTGTTGAGGATAATGCTGAAGGACTAAGGTTTCCTGATAGCACTGGCATGTATAACATCACTGCCCTTCGTAATGGAGTGTCCTCATCAAATGTCACCGTCTTTGTGGAAGGTGAGTTCAGAACAACAGGGGCAATTCTTAGAACACGGAAGAATGGCTCATGGTCTATGCAACTTGTGATGGCAGCTTTAATCCAATGATAACTAGACAGCGATGCCTTATGTACAAATCAAAAGATCAGCCCTGCACCAAGTTTAACTGACACACCATGCTCAGGAGAAATAACCCACATGATTGAGTGTAACAGTTATCCGTGTTGTATACGTTTGCTGCGACTTCCTCATGTACACATTCCAGCATGCGGACCACATCTCTCCTCCTCCCTCCCCGCCCTCGCCCCCGCCCCAACACCATGTTTTCTGATGAACACAGAATATGCATCAAATTACATGTAAACAAGAGTAGATAAACAAGAGTGTGCAACTCCGGATGGATTGGCCCACGGCGGAATTTTTTGTTGACGTAATCTTTTCGACGACGCACGCGCTGCGAGCCTTTTGGAGAGTTTTCCCTCGTGCACTTGGCTGGGCTTTACACTACAAGGTCGGTGCCCAGCACGTGCTCTCACACTGCTCTGCGGCAAAGCCGCGTTTCTCTGAAAAAAGGTGACGTAAACAAAAAATTCCGCCGTGGGCGCGGGGTATCTGCAGATTGTGCAGGAGAGATCCGGAGTTGCACACTCTTGTTTATCTACTCTTGATGTAAATGTACATTGAAAATCAACACAATTTTGCGAATCGACCTTTCTTCAGTATCACTTTTCAACGAGAACAAAGCAAAGTCGGCCAAACGGAGCCTAGAGGAAGAGGATCATCCTCTCCACTTCAACATCATGATACTGACATAGGTACAACACGAAACAACTAAAAAAATTGAAAAGAAAAAGGACCAAGGACCTACAAGTTACGCTATTATGTCCAACTAGTGGTGTTAGTGGACTTTATAGCATAACTTGTAGTTCCTTGGTCCTTTTTTAGTTCCTATAAATTAATCCTTGGCTCTCCATCTGAGTCAACTAAAAAATACACAAGAAAACTGTACGCCTGCCGCCGCGCTGACTTTGGCCTGAAAATTTTCTTTTCCCATCAAAATGTACCAGGAGCACTTAAAAATCAGCTACAGACGTACCTTTACTCCTTTTTCAAGGCACGAAAGTCGTCTCTCCACTTTCAAACCGGGAACAAGACATACTAGTGGTCCCTTTCAGCTGCTCCACGAGCGCAGGCAATGTTCACCAAGGGCCACAGAGCATCATCCATTCCGGCCAAACAGCTAAAATACAAGTAAACCTGCATGCCTGAGTACATGAGCACATGAGTGGAGTCATGCAGTAAATAGTCAATTTCAGTGTTTCTGCTCCGAACAGCAACTAACTTTGACTAGCTACAAAGTTTACATCAAAGGATCAAACAAGAACCATTTTCTTCAGTTTTTTCGGAAGAAAGCTTTTCCTTGTGCTTGGCCTAGGTCCATAATCACACCTCGGAGTGGTACAAGAATTACAACTCCCAGATATGCTCGATTGCTGGCCATGTCAATCTGTCTCTCTCTGTCTCTCTCTCTCTGCCTTTCTGTCTGTCTCTCTCTCTCCCTTTCTCTTTATCTCTCTTTCTCTTTCTCTCTCTCTCTCTCTCTCTCTCTCTCTCTCTCTCTCTCTCCCTCTGACTCTCTCTCTCTGTCTCTCTCCCTCTTTCTTTTTCTCTCTCTCTCTTCCTCTCTTTCTCTCTCTCTCTCTCTCTCTCTCTCTCTCTCTCTCTCTCTCTCTCTCTCTCCGTACAAACCGAAAATTCAAATGAGCTTGACTTCATCTCGTTTTGCAAGGCGGGAGAGAAGCCAGTTCGCGTTCAGCCCAGACGGAAGTTGGTTACGACTGATCTCCTGTCAGCGGCCTCAGACTGGAAACTTCTTGTCGACTCAGTTAGTGCAAAGATTTCTTTCCCTAGCTGTGTTGCACTTACCACCCTAAGACCAGATATAGTTCTGTACTCTACGAGTCGTAGGATTGTATTCTGGATGGAGTTGACAGTTTGTGCTGAGGACAGATTCAGTGTCAGTAACTCGCGGAAGGACAGGCGGTATGCGGATCTGGCCGATCAATGCCGAGCAAACGGGTGGCAGGTCGTTTCTTTTTCGGTTGAGGTAGGTGTGCGTGGTTTCATCCCGGACTCTCTTCGGAGGGCTCTGAAAGCGCTTGGGTTTTCTAATCGAAGAATAAAATTTATTTGTAATTTGTGCAGTAAGACGTCTCTGCGAAGCAGCTACATCATCTGGTTGCGACGTCAACAAAAACACTGGTCGGAAGATCCACTTTTCTGAGGTACTGTATGTGGGGCTCCGTTTATTGAGGTGCGTTGAAATTTATTCTCTTTATCTTATTATTTCTTTTCTATAATTTCCCCATATGAGTTCCTATCAGTTGCTGTGAACACCTTGAGTGGAGAGCGCTTGCTCGAGTGTTGAACCGGGTTCTTAATCCACCATACCCAGTTCGCAAGGCTGGGCGGGGTTGTGAGCAGGCTTTCATTTCATCTTTTCTTATTATTTCTTATTATTTCTGCTTTTTATCTCATTAAAAAATTCTGCGCATTTTTTTCTCCATCTGCGCATAAAATCTAGACTGACAACCTGCTTGTTAAATCATGCACCTGCTTTCAGGCGTAAAAACCCTGTTGTAGAGGTCTCAGTCCTCATTTGTTAGACTTACCTGTCTTTATAAATGTAACTTACTTTCTCGCTTTCTCTCTCTCTGTCTCTCTCTCTGTCTCTCTTTGTCTCTCTCTGTCTCTCTCTCTCTCTCTTTCTCTCTTTCTCTCTCTCTCCCTCTCTCTCTCTCTCTCTCTCTCTCTCTCTCTCTCTCTCTCTCTCTCTCTCTCTCTCTCTCTCTCTCTCTCTCTCTCTCTCTCTCTCTCTCTCTCTCTCTCTGTCTCTCTCTCTTTCTTTCTCTCTCTGTGTCCCTCTCTCTGCCTCTGTGTCTCTCTGTGTCTCTGTCTCTGTCTGTGGCTGTCTGTCCTCAATGTTTCTCTCTGTGTCTCTCTGTGCCTCTGTATCCTGATGTCTCCTTGTGTCTCTGTCTCTCTCACTGTCTCTCTCTCTGTCTCTCTGTCTCTATCTCTCTCTATCTCTCTCTCTCTCTCTCTTTCTCTCTCGCTCTCTCTCTCTCTCTCTCTCTCTCTCTCTCTCTCTCTCTCTCTCTCTCTCTCTCTTTCTCTCTCCCTCTCGCTCTGTCTGTCTGTCTGTCTGTCTGTCTGTCTGTCTGTCTCTCTCTCTCTCTCTCTCTCTGCTTCTCTCTGTTTCTCTCTGTATCCCTCTCTCACTCTCTCTCTCTCTCTCTCTCTCTCTCTCTCTCTCTCTCTCTGTGTGTGGCTCTGTCTCTCTCTGGCTCTCTCTCTCTCTCTCTCTCTCTCTCTCTCTCTCTCTCTCTCTCTCTCTCTCTCTCTCTCTCTCTCTCTGTCTCTGTCTCTGTCTCTGTCTCTGTCTCTCTCTCTGTCTCTGTCTCTGTCTCTCTCTCTGTCTCTGTCTCTGTCTCTGTCTCTCTCTGTCTCTGTCTCTGTCTCTGTCTCTGTCTCTGTCTCTCTCTGTCTCTCTCTCTCTCTCTCTCTCTCTCTCTCTCTCTCTCTCTCTCTCTCTCTCTCTCTCTCTCTCTCTCTCTCTCTCTCTCTCTCTCTCTCTCTCTCTCTCTCTCTCTCTCTCTCTCTCTCTCTCTCTCTCTCTCTCTCTCTCTCTCTCTCTCTCTGTATCTCTCCCTCTCTGTCCCTCTCCCTCTTTCTCTTGCAGTCATACTTCCAAGTGGCCGTGAATTCAATTTTATGCAGAGTTATTTTATGATGCTTGTGGTCTTGTCTTTTTCAGAACCAATTTGCCAAAGACCGGTCATCTCTGACAATACTGCAATGAGTATTAAGGAGTTGCAAGCAATCGTCAACTCAGCGTCCTACTTACTCGGTATGGCGTATGAATGCTCCGAGGGATACGTCTTGAATGGAACAGCCCTGCAGTTGTGCATTGCCAATGAAACGTTTCGACCTCCATCACCACCCTCATGTGCCTTGGTACAGTGTAACGTGTCCTCGGATACAGAATGCCGAGGATCTACGCCTCCAGATCCAGCAGTTTCGTTTGACTATGGAACAAATGTGTCGCTGTCTTGTCAACCAGAATACAATTTGCTTAAACCTGGTTATCTAACTTGCAATGCCAATGCAACCTCATCTACCCATTGTCCAGTCTGTCAACGTACGTACCAGCACACAACTAATAGATTGTAAACATGTAAAATGATCGAGGGAAATAATTTACTCAGAAACAAAATAATACAAAATTTTGAAGGACTCTTTAAGCAGCTTCATTGCACTTGAATAGTTTGCAGGCAACCTGCCTACACTGAAGAGAGCACTGCATTTCACACCAATCCATTAGAAGCATCGCGTCAACGTTTCGGTCTTCATGACCATCATCCAGAATAAAGTAGACATGGAAAAAACAACAGTACAAAACAAGGAAACAAAGCGCGGTACCTAGTGTTAAGTGAGAGTGCGGGTAGAAAAGTGCAAAGCACATCATGGCGGGTACAATGCTACATGTACATGTACCTGACAACACAGACGCAAACGACGAGGAAAGTAGATATTACACTACAGCAGTGATACAAGCACAACTCCAGTCAGATACATCCAGTGAGGTGTGTAGAACCCCGTGCCACTCGCAGTAAAATAATAACAGTGATAATTATTGATGCGGGCAGAACGCACAGAACGCACAGTCAGTATCATAACATCCCATGCATGATGCTGTAGGTAACTGAGTATTGTAGACCATGGTAGAATGTGGTGGGGAATACCCCATAAGAGTGGTAGCCTAGGTACGTGAAGTCATGCATTGCCCACACACATGTGCCGAGTGTATCACCCAGAACGCATGCTAGAAGCTAATAATAATGGCAGCACAGGAAGGGTCATAGCAGGTCCCAGCCTCTGTTGTTGTTGATTTCCGGGGATCGCTCCCTGATCTTGATGGCCTCTCGGATCCTCCTCCTGGGGCGGTCACGCTCAGAACCAAGAACTTGGATACCCGAGAAGGCTGTTGCTCCCAATGGTAATGTCTCTGATGAATGCTTGGCTATAAAATGGTCACCCAGCGCGGTACCACTCACTGCCTTGCGCGAGTCGTCGTTGTGTTCTTTTGTTCTGGTGGCGAGGCTGCGGTAAGTCTCCCCGACATATCTATCATCACATTTGCACTCGAGGTGGTATAATTATGACGTTTCGCTTTGTGCATGCTTCTGAACCAGACATGCAGGCGACACAAGCTGCTTTGGGCCGCCCCCGTTTACGGGGCTTGGACGGGTCTACATACCTGCGGCATGGTGGCTTGCTGAGGGCAGCTATGCAAATCATCGAACTTAGACGGCGGTTTCTGTAGATGAGCTGGGCATTTATCTTGTGCTTACGGAGTAATTTATGAATTTTGTTGTGGACAAATTCGGTGAGAAACGGTAGATTGAGAGTGACACGGTACTAATATACCACCTCGAGTGCAAATGTGGTGATAGATATGTCGGGGAGACTTACCGCAGCCTCGGCACCAGAACAAAAGAACACATTGCTGACTCACGCAACGCAGTGATGGGCACCGCGCTGGGTGACCATTTTGCAGCCAAGCATTTATCAGAGACATTACCATTGGGAACAACAGTCTTCTCGGGTATCCGGGTTCTTGGTTCTGAGCGTGACCACCCTAGGAGGAGGATCCGAGAGGCCATCAAGATCAGGGAGCGATCCCCAGAAATCAACAACAACAGGGGCTGGGACCTGCTATGACCCTTCCTGTGCGGCCATTATTATTAGCTTCTAGCATGCGTTCTGGGTGATACACTCGGTACATGTGTGTGGGCAATGCATGACTTCACGTACCTAGGCTACCACTCTTATGGGGTATTCCCCACCACATTCTACCATGGTCTACAATACTCAGTTACCTACACCATCATGCATGGGATGTTGTGGAACTAACCCGTGCGTTCTGCCCGTATCAATATCACTGTCATTTACTGCGAGTGCCGCGGGGTTCTACACACCTCATTGGATGTGTGAGACTGGAGTTGTGCTTGTATCACTGCTGTAGTGCAATATCTACTTTCTTCGTCTTATGTGTCTGTGTTGTCATGTACATGACTTTGTAGTAATGCAGCCACCATGACGTGCCGTTTGCACTTCTCTATGTGTGCTCTCACTAGGTACCGTGCTTTGTTTCCTTGTTTTATACTGCTGTTTTGTCTATGTTCACTTCATTCTTGATGGTGGTCATGAAGACTGAAACGTTGAAACGATACCTCTAATGGATTTGTGTGAAATGCCGTACTCTCTTGAGAGTAGGCAGGTTACCTGCAAACTATTCAACACAATAATTATCTTCTCTAATAATTGGACCCCCGGATGTTGAGCTCCTAATATAAAAAAATTAGGGCTGAAACGATCATTCAATAACTCCTGACGATCAACCAATATCATTAACGATCGATATATTGATTTTATCGATTCTTGTCGGCTCTACTCGTGTACCTCGCACACCAGTTTATGAAGAACCCCCCACCCCCCCCCCCCCCCCTCCCATAATACCTTTGGTACATTAGAAATTTGTGGCACCGCACTGTTGACATCTGTGGAAATCTGGCTGGTTTATCAACATGAACTAGAGAATTTCATGTTGTTTCTACAGCAAAGAATCTTGTCATCACCCTCTGGCAACTGCTCTTATCTCCAACCTCTCACACAAATGAACCAAAAAGACAAAGTCTTCTCTCCCGATCTCTTTCAAAGCCACAAATCAATTTTACCGCACTTGGAAGTACATGATTGTACTCGTATTCACTATTGGATGGAGTGCAAGGGCTAGAATACGGTCACTGATATGCATGCATAATAAATCGTTAGCACTCGTTTTAAACACTAACGACTATTGATTGCAATCTTAACGATCGATATGCGAGTTATCGGTATAATTGTTTCAGCCCTAAGAAAAATATGTAAAACAGAGAAGGAGTGGAACACATGCATGGACACGAGTTAACCCTTTATGGACGGATTACTAGCACAGTACGCACCAGAATTACAAAATGTCAGTACAATTTTCAACTTTACCATGTCAAAACTTTGGTGTCCTTCACTTGATTTTCACAATCAAGGGCTCATTGGAAAGCTCTTGACGAGAGCAACGCCAGGGTACCAATCTCCATTATCCAGCCGCCACAAATCAGGCGCGGTAATACAGCAAAGTCGTCTCCAAGCCTGATATGCAAGCAAATTCGTCCCATCAACGCCATTCCACTCTCCTTCATCGCAGAACGCTCAAATCTGTTTGAGACGATTCAAACTTCAGCCGGCTACGTCATTATCATGTGCTCAGTCGCTCAAAGAGCACACGAAAAGGGGTTTTCCCCCAAAATGGCGAAATGATCGATCAAAAATTTGAATTTGCCGAGGTAAGAATACGGCGTGCGATATCTCTGGCGTCCGACATCGTAACTCTTCGGCGATTGTTGCATTGGACAGCTTGGAGTTTCCGCTACCACGTAGACCCTTCGATTGTGGAATTTGCTCAAGAAACGATGGAGTTACGAAGATTTTACCGCCTGCAGACTTTCGATCTTATTAGATCGAAACTCGTACAGTCCGTCCACAAAGGGTTAAGAGTAACTGTCTAACACTGTAACGAGATACTAGTGTACAGGTAGGTAGTGCAACAACTACATTAATTTTGTAGGCACAAACCTGACAGAGTACTGACACATCAAATAACCTGATACAGTACCTAGCTCATACGCATTTCCAAATCGCTGTGAAACTACTTGTTATTAGTGTTGAAACGAGCGTATCTATAACAAACGAGCGATCAGTTCCACTAACGAGCAAGCTATCGAGCAAGCTATCGAGCGAGCTAACGAGTTTCATTGATGTGGCAAATATGATTTTTTTGAATAATTTTTTTCTAATTTTTTTATTTGGTGCAGCTGAGAGCCTGTTGCCGGAATGGCGGTGTTTTCAAGTGCAATTTTTTTCTAAGTTCGATTTTTTTCAGCTGGTTCAAATTATCACCGCCGGCATTCGGGGTTGCTGCTGCTTCACTTCGGACTGCTGTTTGGTGTCGAGATGTCTTTTCAGCGCCGTCGTCGATCAGCCTTTGTAAGGATAGACCGTTTTGGAAAGATTGCAAGTAGCCCTGGTCTTCGCTGCATCGCGGGAGAACACTTCCAAACGACTGAGCGTAACTTTCACTCGAATGGAGAGGTGACCGAAGCATATCCTGCGACAGGTCAGCAGATGCGGAACAAGACATCAGTAGAGTCCACCAAAGCTGCAACGACAACTGAAACAACTCAAGTGTCGTGCAGGCATACAGTCACTGTAACTGCGAGTGATTTTCACTTTGCGCGGGACTGGACTCTCGATCGACCAGGGCCAGGGAGTCGTAAAATATTTTACGACTCCCCGGTCGACATGTACTGCCATGTGTACGGAGTACGGTGTACGGTGTTCGTTAGTGCAAACGAGCTGGTCGCACAAACGAGCCGATTTTCTGGCGAGCGAGCTAACGAGTATCCGGTGAGATCGTTTCAACACTACTTGTTATTGAAGTCAACTCGTCCATCATAGTATCCTAGAAATGAAGTGTGACATTCCTCATAACTTGCATCCAAGTTTCACTTCACATTTCTAAACTCGAATAACAATGATAAAAGTAAATTTGGTTCACATGTCACTCATGCAACAACTCACGGGCTTAACGCATCTGTCCATGAAATCAGGTCAGAAGACAGGGGCATTTAATGAGCTTTTAAAATTGGTGCAACACCGGCCAAATGTTACTATGAGAAAGGGCCAGGAGGCGGGGGGGGGGGGGGGGGGTAATTTGGAAATAAGGCATAAATACAGCATTCTTGGGCTTCTGTAGCAGAGTTTCAAGGGGAATTAAAGTTTCTTTTGAGCTACATTCTATTCGAGCACATCCAGTTAGTCAGAACTCGTAACGTGTTGTCCTTCTTTTTATCCATTCCTGAACATCCATTCTTGTATTCTTGTTCCAGCTATTCCGTGCAATACATCCAGCTTTCGAACACCTGTTAATGGTCAAATTGTTAGGGTTCATCACACGGTCGAGGTAAACAAGTCTCTGCCCATCACCTGTCGCTATGGTTACACACCAAGCACTGCCAACGCATCAGTGCAATGTCTTCTTGGCGAGATTTGGCAGACCAATAACATAACATGTGAAATTATCTCATGTGGACAACCTTCAAACATCTCCAACGGTAGCTACAATGGAACGAATTTTACCTATAATTCCACCGTGACGTATTCCTGTGATGATGCGTACGAGATAGCAGGAGGTCAGACAACTAGGACATGTGGTGTGAATGGCAATGAGGGAAAATGGGAAGGAGAGCCACTTATCTGTAAAGGTATGGGGACGGCACTGATTTGGACATTGATTTTCTTTCTGCTGCTGCTGCTGCTGCCGCCGCCGCCGCTGCTGCTGCTGCTGCTGCTGCTGCTGCTGCTGCTGCTGCTGCTGCTGCTGCTAGTCCAGCCTGTGAACGTCAGCACACAACTAGTATATTGTAAACATGTGAAATGACCAAGGGAAATAAGTTACTCAGACAACAGAATTGAACTCACATGGGGACAACATTATTTTTGATTATTGTAAAAAAGGAGAGGGACAAAATGTTACGAGGCTTTGACCTTAGTACAAAAGCTACATTTGTAGTCACAAACCTGACAGAGTACTGAGACGTCAAACAACCTGATACAGTACCTAGCTCTAACGCATTTCCAAATCGCTGTGAAACTACTTGTTATTGTAGTCAACTCGTCCATCATAGTGTCCTAGAAATGAAGTGTGATATTCCTCATAACTTGCATCCATGTTTCACTTCACATTTCTAAATTCGAATAACAATAATAATAATAATAATAAAACAGGTCGCGTAATGAAGCAGCATAACGATAGATGTGCAAAGTCATGATGCCTGGTCCGCTTCTGTCCTGGGTTCACTACCCCGTGCGTTGCAGCCGCGAGCAAAACCAGCTCAACAATGATAAGAGTAAATCCGGTTCACACGTCACTCAAGGTACAATTCACGGGCTTAACGCATCTGTAGATGAAATCAGCTCAGAAGACAGGTGCGTAGGAGAGATTTTAAAATTGGTACGACAACGGCCAAATGTTACTAGGAGAAAGGTCCGGGAGGGGGGGGGGGGGGTAATTTGGAAATAAGGCGTAAATACAGCATTCCTGGGCTTCTGTAGCAGACTTTCAAAGGGAATCACAGTTTCTTTTGGGCTACATTCTATTCGAGTACACCCAGTTAGTCAGAACTCGTAATGTGTTGTCCTTCTTTTTATCCATTCCTGAACATCCGTTCTTATTTTCTTGTTCCAGCTATTCCGTGCAATACATCCAGCTTTCCAACACCTGTTAATGGTCAAATTATTAGGGTTCATCACACGGTCGAGGTAAACAAGTCTCTGCCCATCACCTGTCGCTATGGTTACACACCAAGCACTGCCAACGAATCAGTGCAGTGTCTTCTTGGCGAGATTTGGCAGACCACTAATATAACATGTGACATTATCTCCTGTGGACAACCTTCAAACATCTCCAACGGTAGCTACAATGGAACGAATTTTACCTATAATTCCACCGTGATGTATTCCTGTAATGAGGCGTACGAGATAGCAGGAGGTCAGACAACTAGGACATGTGGTGTGAATGGCAATGAGGGAAAATGGGACGGAGAGCTACTGATCTGTAAAGGTATGGGGACGGCACTGATTTTAACATTGCTTTTCTTTCTGCTGCTTCTGCTGCTGCTACTGCTGGTGGTAGTGCTCCCGCTGCTTCTGCTACTGCTGCTGTTGATGCTACTGTTACTAGTGATGATTTTTGTATTATTTTTATCCCCTTGAGCGCGGGGCTGTTTGTCAGTGCACCACGTAAGAAAATGGTCATCTTTTTGAAAATTTTCAAACTTTCGCCATTCCTGAACATGTCAAGTCGTGAAATCTTTTGGAGCCACAACCACAGGCAGTGGTACGTATCACCCAGACCAGCACTCGACAACGAGAACAAAAGTCAAAATCGGCCAAGGCACGCCAGGCCGAGCGGCATACTCAGGTCCTTTTTTGAGAAATTGCTCCAATTGCGTGGTATGCGAGCGTAAAAAAGAGAAAAAAGGAGGTGTACTGTTTGCTGAACATCGACAGCTGGGAACTGTACCCTAGACCTCTCGTACACTAGGCATAAACACTACCACTCGGCTAACAAGCCTGAAGACTCCACGGCTTCTTGCTACGTGAAGCATGAGAAGGAGAAGAAGCGTCGCTATGAGCAGCGCATCCGCGATATTGAGCACTCGTCATTTGTTCCCGCCGTTTTCTCTACCACTGGTGGTTTGGGTAAACACGCTGATGCGCTCTACAAGCAGATTGAATCGCTCCAAGCGGCGAAGAGCGGGGAAGCGTACAGCTCTGTTATGGCTTGCATCAGGTGCAATTTGAGTTTTGCCCTTCTGCGGTCAAGTGTTATGTGCTTGCGCGGATCTCGGAATCTGCAACCGATGCAGTTGGACTCCAGGTCACCTCCTACCTTGGTGGTTGCTGTGATATTCAACAACAATGTTGACCTTTGTACATGTATTATGTAGAATTACTCAAATCTGTGGACAGCAACTGTTTCGCTCTGTTAGAGCTCCTCAGCACAGCTCAGAGGACCGAAGCGCAGCTCTTCGCAATGAAATACATTTCCGTGTATAATTATGTACATGTACATCATTGTTGGAACTGTGCAGTTCCCTTATTAGAAAGTTATATGTATTCAAACTAGTGAAGATCATTATGTATTCATGTACATATTTATGTTTTTACCAGGCGTGGGCCATCCCCTGATTTCATAGGTGCCAAACATTTTTACGTTTTCAAAAAACAAGAGTTTTGAAACGAGAAAAAAAGAAGACTGAAGCTATAGGCCATTAGTTTGCATAATTATAAGCTCATGACATACTAGCACGTCATCCGTGAGGCACTGTGTGGGTCTTATGACGTACTACTGTCGTGGACATGGAAATCCGGTCGCACGTCTAGCGGCCCCAGGTACATGTAGGTTTTCCACAAATCGGCCCGTTTTTTTCGCCTGTTCGGCTTTTCGCTAAGGGCGCGTTCAGACTACCGTGAACCCCGTCAAACCGTGAATGCCGATAAACCGTGAAGGACATTCACACTACCGATAACAAACTAACGTGACCGTGAAGTTTTCAGCTCTCACCGCGGCACTGACAAGGGATTTTCCCTTTTTTCGCAGCGCGCATGCAGCCTGAGCACTTTTTTTACTGCCGGTAAAAGTTTACTGCCGCAGCAGCCGCGGCAGTAAAACTTTCCCACCGGTAACGTGCCAGTAACATCACGTGATCAAATCACCTTGGCGACTTTCCCAATCGGTCACTTTTTATCGGTAGTCTGAACGCGCCCTTAGGAGGGCCCAAACATGCTCAAAAATTTCGCATATTATTCTTTTCGCATATTGGCCACTCGCTTCAAAATATGCTTCGAAATCACACAAAAGCAGAAAAATATGCTCGAAATATGCGCGAAATATGCTCGAATTATGAACTGATATCAGTGATAATTATGCGAATTCTTTGCTCCTTGTGGCAAAATATGCTACATTTGGTACAATATGCTAGATTTGCTACTTTATGCGACCTTGAGTCGCGGACACTCTCTCCTCGGGTCAATTTTTCGCCCTGTGTTTGGATGAGCATTTTTCCTTCCGGGCTCGTTTTCGGCAAATTTTGTTTGGCCGGCCGATAGCCCTTTCCCACAGGTGCTCTTTTAATTCCCACTTAGTGCTTTTCGCGTCCCTCAAAATATGCTGAAAAGTGCTCGTTTTTCAGTGAAAATAGGCAAAAAGTGCTCTTTTTTCAATGAAGCATAGCCATGATACATGTTCAGATATGAACCCAAGCTGAGAACTGAATACGCACTCTTCCATTTATGGGTCCACGAAAGGCAAAACAGGAAGTAAAGTTCAAAAACCTCACTTTTTACAGCATTGTGTACAAGCTTCACCAACTTGTTGCCCCTTCCCCCCCCCCCCCCCAAAAAAGCGGCGTGCCGAGGTCCATCGAGCACTCGGAAACTGTCATTGCATGCATGAGCAAACAGATTTTAGCACTTTTTCAGCTCAAAAAGCTCAAAAAAGGGCGATATTCACCAAAAACGCAATAAAGGGCAAAAGAAACGGGCTTTTGCAAAAAAGGGCCAAAAAGGGCGAAAAAGGGCGAACACCTTTTGGGAAAGGGCTACCGGCCGATTTGGGGAAAGCCTATCGAGCGGTCATGCTTACATACAGCAACATCTTTCGTTTGTAAACGCACATTGCAACAATATTTTGTTAGATTTTCGGCGATTCTCAAAGGAACCCTCCAAAATCGACGAAAAGTTTAGCGATTTTCGATAAGTCTCATTTTCGGCAAATTTTTCAGCCAGGCGATTTGGGGAAAGCCTAGCCCCAGGGCGCTGGCCATGCAGCAGTGGATAAGCGGCACACACATGCATTTATGCGCTGCAGCGCGCTGGTCGCATCGGATCAACATGTGCACTGGACGCAGCGTTCTGTAAGCGCTGACGGCGCTGGCCCCGGTCTATCGACTGGATTTCCATGTCCGCTATAGTGGCACATCATCCGCGCTCAAGAGGTTAAGATGTTGATGCTGGTGCTGTTTTAGCACTAACTCATATCAAAGGCAAAGAAACTCATTTACAAAGCGATGGTAGAGACTTGGAGGGATTAAAAACATTGATAGCCATTGTGTAATGTTAATTTTAATTTTGGTTTGAATCGCAGTGAAGAAGCCGTTTTTGGAGTTGAGAAGTGAAGTTTAGAGATAGCCATTGTTGTACTTCAAAAGTAGGCAGTGTTTTCTCCGGAAATGCCATAGATTGGCATACTGCAACATCTATACTAGGTAATGAACCACATCTTTGACAAGAGGTTTGGGGCCAAAGAGCATACCTTTGAAATTGCAAGTTCGGTTGAGAGGCATCTGTGCATGCGCCTGGCTGTCCCTGAAGTGTTGAGTTGACTAAATCACGGCAAAGTAGGAGAAGTCGAATGAATGCTACAACCTTCTTCCTTTTCCTGTGAATTGAGCTTTTGTTCTAGTAAAAATAGAAATTTTCATCACATTAGCTGTTGTTAGAAGTTTAGAGTATATTTTGTGTCCTGTATTTTTGTTGTATTATTTAAATTTATTTTTGTATGTATATTCAGCGATTCCTTGCAAGTTGGACGAATTGAAGACAAAGATATCTCCGGGCAAGTTTGAAATACATCAGCAGACAGACACTTTGGCTGTTGGTGACAACGTCCCCATATCCTGCCAACGTGGGTACAAGTTGTCATCCAGGACCAATGTCACGTGTGAAATCGGCTCTGTTTGGAGCAATATCAGTGCCAGTTCAAGGTGTGACGTCATCACTTGCAACAGTGGCAAGATTGAGATAGAGAATGGCGAGGTTGGACTAGCACACAACACATCGGTTGGATCAATACGTTCACTGACCTGTGATTCTGGATTTGGCAAATCACCCAGTACTTACCAGATCATGTGTACTGAAACTGGCCATTGGTCTACAGCCGTGGAGTGCAGAGGTAGGTTCTGGTAGTGCTGTTGCTGATGTCACCGATACTGCACATAGGCATAGCTCTTGTCACATGAGTGTACATGTGTGCGTGCACATGTGTGTGCTTATGTGTGTGTGTATGTGTTTTTGCATACTGTAAAGTTCCGTGTATACGCCCACTCGAAATAACGCCCATGCCCGAAAAAACGCCCATCGAATCGACATCCACACTCAACGCCTGTGAGTTCGCCCATGCCCGAAAACCGCCCAGGGTGATGCTGTACCTGTGTATGCGTATGTGTATGTGTGCAAAATGTTATGCATGCATATGAAAACGCAAGCGATGCAATATGCACCTTGCATAGGCCCGGTCCTGAAATAATGCCCATGCCCAAGTATACGCCCAGTTTTCAGACCCTTGTTCTGTTTATGCCCGGGGCGTATTTACGGCACTTTATGCGTGTAGGCTTTGTCCTTGTATCTGTGTGTGTGTGTGTGTGTGTGTGTGTGTGTGTGTGTGTGTATACCGTGTGTGTTTATAAACGTGCCTACACATGACAGGTGGCGGAATTACACTACAGTCAAATCTGTCGTAAGCGACCGCCCCTTGGTGCAAGAAAAAGCGGTCGCTTACGGCAGATGGTCTCTTACGGCAGATGTATGGTAAATCCGGCATACCAGGTATATGCTTCCATGTACTCAAATCGACGAGAATAATGTAATTTTTAATATCATTTTATTGGATATTCAACGACGACCATACCCGTATACTATTACGCGTATGCGACACGGCAGTAGATCGACACTACCGCCTGGACTTGAGAGCTACAGCACAGCCTCAGTACACATGGTACAGGCCAGGCGCCAGTCGATCGCACTTGCAAGACAGCGCATTTTCACACTTTGCAGTTGACAGCGCACTGGCAAGTACAGTTTCGCACCATACTGAACCTGGGCCTGCTGGGTCGCGGTCGCTTACAGCAGATTTGAATGCAGCCACCGTGCATGAAATCGCGGTCGCTGGTCGCGCACAGCAGATGGTCGCTCTGGACAGATCAGTTTGTGTGTGAAACCGTTGGTGCACGGAAAATCGGTCGCTAACGGTAGATGGTCGCCTACAGCAGAGGTCGCTAACGGCAGATTTGACTGTATAACAATGCTGCCAAACTTTCGTCCGCAGTACGGAATTTGAGAAAAAAAGGCGGAAAATTTAAGGGTATTGATCAGCTACAGATATGTACATGTATGTAGAAGCATGGCAAGTGCAAGCTGAGCTATGTATGTCCCCATGCCAAAGAGAGTGCATTCCATGCTTCGACTACATGATTATACGTGGAACACAATATCATGTTGTGATACGAGTCCCACATGTTTTGCACTACCTAATCCAGCCACCGACAGGCATGTGAGTGTCAAAAAAATCAATGCACACAGCAGTACATTGCCAGTACACTGGCAGTACATTGGCAGTTCACTGTAAACTACTTGTACAGAAAATCAGAAATTGAAGCATGCAAAACAAACCCAGTTGGTTGGCAGCACTGCTATACCAAATTTATCATTAGTGTGGGATCGGCTATCTGTCTGTGTCGCTACTCACTGTGAACTGGGAACTCGTGGCCAGGGTAAAGGGGTATGAGCAGGCGCGTACGCAGGGTCACCTCTGGGGGGGGGGCTTCCAAACGAATCACAAACCATTAGTTTTAACCCTAAAAAACATGACCCTTTCTTTTTTTTAAAGAGCTCTACGATTTTTGGAAAATTATGCAATTTTTCGTGTTCCTTGGATCCCACCGCTTAGGAGCTGCATCTGCGCTATAATCCAAGAAGTTGGTGGCGTTCCTGCGGATGCGGAAAACTCGGCTTTTGGCGTAGTCTCACGCGAACCGTGAATTTTGTTTTGGATCATAACTTCAGTTCTACTCACTCAATACTCACAATCTTTGGCTTCCTTGAAGTGGAAAGGTACCTGGGAGAGGAAGAGAATGAGGCGGACCATGATAGCCAGGACACTGTATATGAGTATCCAGCGCTAGAGTGCAGCGATGGTGCGAAAAATGCCCCAAAGGCCCAAAAGCGTCCTGCCAGAGCGATTTCGTTTTTCTCGATCTCAGGGTTTCGAATTGTTGCTGTGTTCTTTTGCGAATATCACACGTGAAGCCCGTGCAAATTTGAGTAAGTCAGAGTGACGAAAAGTCTCAAATTCTCGATACTCAAGTCGCACTGTGCACTTTTGAAATTGCCGAGATCGCGGCTCAACTTACGAATGATTTAACTCAAGAAACATTGCTCGCAGCGCTTCGAGGCAGCTGTTTTCTATTCGACCTGGATATTTGGATCGTTGCATTTGAGCGAGATTTGACTGAGTTTGACTGCGTAATGATCTGTGGAAGTTTTGCATTCTTGTCAGACCGATCGCGCACCCTACCAAAAAATGCCCAAAACGTTGCTCGTTTGCAACATTTGGGGAGTTTCCGGGCAACGGGACACAAAACTTTATTCATAATTATGGTGGTAAACACGCACTTGGCAATATGGCTGTAAAAACACGCCGGCCATTAATTACACAACGACAGGAACTGTAACAGGTTTAATCAAACTTGAAAAGTAAGAGACCTGGTTGAGCGTGCCTCGACCAGTTATATGCAAAATGTGATAGTATACATGTGGCAATGGCGCCAATGAAGGTGCTAATAGACAGGCGTAAGACGCACGAGGTGCGAGGGAGTGTAAAGTTATAGAGAACAGGGGAAAACTGTTACATCATCCCCCTCCTATGGAGAGGAAGGAGCTTATAACCCAAATGCTCAAGTGGAATAGAGTACAATAAGCGCAAACACGTGCGAGACGAAAAAAGGCTTCGCACTGAAGTAACACAATAAGACGACTGAAACTCCATGCAAATAAAGTGTAATAAGCTCAACAAATGTGTAAGGTGAAACTAGAAGTTCAACTGCAAAACTCAGCGGGCAGAAGCCAAGGTTTTGTACTTCTGAAGTGGAACAATGTCATTACCAGATTCATCCAACAAATAATGTTCAGGCTCCCAAGTGGCATCAGAGTAGCCTTGCCACTTGACTAGGTACTGAAGCTGATTCTGCCGACGGCGGTGACTGAGAATGTTCTCCACCACATAGCGGGCATGACCATCAAGGTCCGTGATAGGCGGAGGCGTAGGCTGTCTCCTATTAGGAATAGCGTTCTTCTCGTAGGCACGGAGTGCCGACACATTAAATACCGGGTGACAGCGGCTGGTATGAGGCAACTTGAGCTTGTAGGCATTCGGGCCGACCACATGGGTTATAGGAAAGGGGCCAAACCACTTGGGGCGTAATTTATGGGATGGTCGGTCCCGAGCTTCAGGAGTCAGGAGGAAATCCCGGTAGACCATTACCAAATCTCCCACCTTCAGCTTTCCCTCGACCCTTGTCCGATCTGCATAGAAGGCCTGACGAGCTTGAGCTGCCACTAGCGCATCTTGTGAGATCTTGACCGCGTCTTGTCTTGCTTGCAACCAATCAGCTGAATCTCTGCCTCCCTGAATAGGGTTGAGGAAGTCGGGTGGCGCTCTGGGATTTAGACCGTAATTTAAGAAGAACGGTGTGTTTCCTGTAGATGATTGAGTAGCGCTGTTGATAGAAAACTCACAGAGAGGTAGGAGCATATCCCAGTTATCTTGTTTATGATTTACAAAAGCCCTCAGCACATCCTCTACTATTCTGTTTACTCGTTCAGTTAGGCCATCTGTCTGAGGGTGATTGGCAGTACTAAATGCTAGTTTCGTTCCTAAGCGATCAAACAATTCCTGAAAAAATGCTGCCGTAAATCTTGGATCACGATCACATACAATACTAGAACTCAAACCATGAAGTCGAAATACATGTTGAATATACAGATCAGCACTTCCTTTAGCGTCAATAGTAGAGGAAGTAGGTGCTAAATGTACACACTTTGTCAAGCGGTCTACAAATACATATATAGCATCATGACCTGTATCGGTCCTAGGCAAACCCATGATAAAATCCATCGAGATATCTGCCCACGGCTGACTGGGCACTGGTAAATTCTGCAAGAGACCAGTTTTTAGCTGGCCGCCTTTAACTCGTTGGCAGACGTCACATGACTTGACAAACGCCTTTACATCCAGTCCCATTCTGGGCCAATAGAAATATCTAGAGAGTCTGAAATAGGTGCGATCTCGACCGGGATGCCCCGCAGTCACACAGTCATGGTATTCTTGAAGCAGGGCGAGTCGGAGTTTGCTACTCTTTGGAATGCATAACCTGTTCTGTGGTGAAGATCTGAGATAAAGATAACCGGGTGTTTCATTTAGAAGGTAACGGTCGTGCAGATTGTCATGGCTTGAATTTTTCAGTCTCCTGATAATGGGAGCAAGATCCTTGTCGCACTTGTAACCGTTGACAATTAACTGCGCTAAGTCTGGATTAATCTCTAGGGTATGCTCTATGGCATTCAACTGAATGTTAGGAGGATAGGATGACCCGCCTATTTCAGAATCACTGAACAGATCTGGACGGCGTGAAAGCGGGTCGGCAATGTTTTTCTTTCCTGGTTTGTGAAAGACCGTAAAGTCATAGTCAGCTAAAAACTCTACCCATCTTGCCTCACGCTTGGTGAGAGTCGGTTTGGTTCGTAAATAGACAACACCCATATTATCAGTCATCAGGTCAAAGTGGCGGAATAGATAGATTCTCCAGCACTTTAATGCAAATACCACAGCCAACGTTTCCCTCTCGGCCGCAGTATAGTTGCGTTCTGCAGCTGACAGTTTCCGACTACAATAGGCTACGGGATGCAAATCCATATCTTCTCCCTGCTGCAGGAGCACACCCGCCACGGCAAAGTCACTTGCGTCAGTTTCTACCATGAAGCTTTTCTCAACATCGGCCAGTTGCAACACTGGCGCCTCGAGTAATGCTGATTTTAGAGACTCGAATGCCTTCTGTCTAGCAGCGCTCCATTCAAAGCGTGAATTTTTTCCGGTGATTTCTTCTAATGGACGAGAGATGGTCGAGTGTCGATCTATGAACCTTCGGAAATAGTTTGCAAAGCCAAGAAACTTCCTCACATCAGTTACTGACGACGGAGTTGGCCATGTTTCCACAGCACTTATCTTCTTGGGATCAGGGGAAATTGATGTGCCGTTGATTTTATGCCCCAAGAAGAGAACTTCTCTCACGCCGAATTCGCATTTAGACTGTTTGCAATACAGCTCACTATTTCTAAGTGTTTCTAGAACTGTTTGAAGATGATGCTGATGATCTTCCCAGGTCTTGCTGAAAACTAGAATGTCATCCAAGAATACTACAACGAATTTTCGGAGATGCGGTTGCAGAATAGAGTTCATGAGAGACTGAAAGGTGGCCGGGGCATTAGTCAGCCCGAATCCCATGACTCTAAATTGGAAGTGGCCGAACGGCGTATTAATGGCCGTCTTAGAAACATCCGAGTCTTGAATTCTGATTTGATTGTAGCCTGACCGCAAGTCCAACTTGGAGAAATATGCACTGCCCTGGATCGTGTCGAATAAGTCATCAATATTAGGAAGACAAGCTTTGTTTTTGATCGTAATTCTATTCAATTCTCGCCAATCGCACACCATTCTCAGAGTACCATCCGACTTTTTCACAAAAAACACAGGTGCACCGTATGGCGACTTACTTGGCTCAATGAATCCCTTCTCAAGTAATTCTGATAGCTGTGACTGGAGCTCGTCCATCTCTGGTTTCGGCAGGCGGTAGGCGGGTCGAGACGGTGGTCTGGCTCCATCTTCTATCTGGATTTCATGGTCGACTGGTCTCTTCGGTGGAAGCTCATTCGGCAGCTCGTCTGGAAATAAATCCTGGTACCTCTTGAGCAGGTTCTGGATGTCTTGTTGCTCTGATTCCTGGAGTTGTGGCCCGGAACGATTCTCCTCGTTTGCAGCAGTGACCCATGCAAGAAACCCCTCGGCTCCACTCCTCAGGGCATGACGAGCTTGTCGGCCACTGATAAACATGCTTTCCACAGATGGCCGGTCGGCTGTCGGCGGGTTAGCTGAAGGCAATTTGGCAACAAAGGGCTCACCGTCCAACTGAACTTCGTTCGTACGGAAGTTGATGCTGGGGTTGTTCCTTGTAAGCCACGGCTTGCCAAGAATAGCGTCGTAGCGAGTCAGGGGATACACAGTAAAGTGCTGTTCCTCACTGAAGCCCCCGACTGTCACCCTTAGCGTGCGTGTGGAAATCTGCGGGACCTCGCTGGTCGAGCCGTCCGCCAATGTTACGCTCAGCACTGCTGAGCTTGCATCCGTGTCAAGATGATGCTTTCGAACAAAACTGTCTGCAATGAAGTCATGCGTCGAACCGGAATCTATCAGCATCACTGCACGGCGACCGCCGATCTTTCCCTGTATGCGCAGTAGGTCGTGTTCAGGTTCATTGCCGACGCTGACGTTGCTGACATGACACCTTTCTGCAACGGGACAATTTCCTACAGCTATGGGTGTCTCCGGCTCCGTAGGTTCCTGGAGAGCAACGTCTTCAACCTCCAGAGCTCCGAACCGGTTAGCGACTGGTACCGGCGTGGGCGCTTGGGTCGTCGCCAGTAAGCGCACCCCCTTTCTTACTGGCGACCAGCGTTTGGGTAGCGCTGTCCACCCTCAGTACAGTCTTTAGCGAGGTGGCCTGGCTTCCTGCAAGCAAAGCAGTGTCCCATTGCTCGCAGTTGGACACGCTCTTGGTCCGTCAGCTTGCGGAGGCCCTGACCACGGAAGCTGGGCACGGAACGCGACTCTCTACTGGCTGGTGGCCCCGACGCCGGTGGCCCTGACGACTGCTCCACGGTGTTTGCTGCCATGACAGCTTGCTCCAGGGTACGTGGATGCTCACGCATGACCTGTCGCTGGATGTGCGGCACTAGACCCCTGACGAACAGCAGCGCTCTGGTGTGGTGGTCGATTTCCGGCACTTGCAGGCTGAGGCGAGTGAAAGCAGCAATGTATGCGTCCAGCGACCCGCGCTGCGCTGCGGAAATTAGTCCCATACGCGATGTTTCCTCGTTGTGCCGTGGTCCGTACACATCGCCAAGTGCCGCTTTCAGAGCAGGCCAGTCGGAAAACACTTGGTTAGCTTCCAATGCCGCTATCAACCAAAGACGAGCGTTTCCAGTCAAAAATCCTGCCGCGTAGTCGACCCTCTGTGCCGCATTTGGGAGTGCCAACGACCGTAGGGCCATGTCCATTGCAAACGTCCATTCTTTGAATGTAGCGGAATCTCCTCCAAACACAGGCGGCTCTTTCGTAAGGCGGGGTGTTGGCTCCCACGGTTCCGAGTTCGGATGTATCGTTCGGTGTCCTTGGCTAACGCGCTGAGCGGTCTTGATATCGTTTATCAGCCGAACGACGAGTACGAGGAGCGTAAGCAGAGCGACCAGAACACCTGCCAAAAGCAGAGTAGTAACCATCCTCTGCTACCAGTGTAACAGGTTTAATCAAACTTGAAAAGTAAGAGACCTGGTTGAGCGTGCCTCGACCAGTTATATGCAAAATGTGATAGTATACATGTGGCAATGGCGCCAATGAAGGTGCTAATAGACAGGCGTAAGACGCACGAGGTGCGAGGGAGTGTAAAGTTATAGAGAACAGGGGAAAACTGTTACAGGAACCCCCCTCTCCCCTCCCCAACCCCTCCCCCCCCCCTCCCCCTCCCCTCCCCTGCGTACGCGCCTGATGAGTACATGAACTATGGACTGAATATGGTTGCTATGGACTGTCCAGGGTTGCTATGGACTGTCCAGGGTTGCTATGGACTGTCCAGGGTTGCTATGGACTGTCCAGGGTTGCTATGGACTGTCCAGGGTTGCTATGAACTGTAGAGCGTTGCTAACAAGAGTACATACATATAGATGTCCGCTTGAATCCTGCTTGTCCACACTACTTCGCTAAAATGATGTAATCCCAGAATTTGGTATGACATCAACCCATCATAACTGCACACACACTTCGCTTCATGTACATGTACTCTTGGTGCAGGTTAAGTGCAATTCAAGCCATAGAGTAGGGTAGGCATTATCATTGCCAGTTCAAGCCATAGAGTAGGGTAGGCATTATCATTGCCAGTTCAAGCCATAGAGTAGGGTAGGCATTATCATTGCCAGCTCAAGCCATAGAGTAGGGCAGGCATTATCATTGCCAGTTCAAGCCATAGAGTAGGGCAGGCATTATCATTGCCAGTTCAAGCCATAGAGTAGGGCAGGCATTATCATTGCCAGTTCAAGCCATAGAGTAGGGTAGGCATTATCATTGCCAGTTCAAGCCATAGAGTAGGGCAGGCATTATCATTGCCAGTTCAAGCCATAGAGTAGGGTAGGCATTATCATTGCCAGTTCAAGCCATAGAGTAGGGTAGGCATTATCATTGCCAGCTCAAGCCATAGAGTAGGGCAGGCATTATCATTGCCAGTTCAAGCCATAGAGTAGGGCAGGCATTATCATTGCCAGTTCAAGCCATAGAGTAGGGCAGGCATTATCATTGCCAGTTCAAGCCATAGAGTAGGGTAGGCATTATCATTGCCAGTTCAAGCCATAGAGTAGGGCAGGCATTATCATTGCCAGTTCAAGCCATAGAGTAGGGTAGGCATTATCATTGCCAGTTCAAGCCATAGAGTAGGGTAGGCATTATCATTGCCAGCTCAAGCCATAGAGTAGGGCAGGCATTATCATTGCCAGTATGAGGGCCATTCAGACAGTGAGAGTCAGACACGGGTCAGGCTCGTCAAAGAGCACCACCAACCTTCCGGGAGACCTTTGGGACAATGGCTGTCACATGTTCATCAATAGTGACAGCGAGGCACTGTGCTCACAGCTGCCAACTCTTTCTTCTAACTAAAAGTAATAAATTCGACGGGTTCGCGTACCGGGCAGGTCAAGAACAAGGAGTCGTACAACTCCCTGGTCAAGAACCACCTTTCCGCTTCCGTGGGACGCCACCACCCCATGATCAAGCGTCAGATGCGGCTCCTAAACGGTGGGGGAGGATAGGTCAGATCCACCAACCAGAGGTCAAAGGCCTCAATCCCATTTGCCACATCCGTGTATTACTCATGCCAAGCCACGAGTTCGCAAATAACTGTGGGTCGCAGCATGGTTGGAAAAATCCTTCCGCTTCCAAGCAGGACTTGAACCTAGTACCTCTCGTTTCTCAATCATGGTCTTAGACCATCCCACTATGCCTGACTGTTTCTTCTAACTGCACATTCATATTGTGCGGAGTAGTTATTTAACTACTTGTTTGAGCTTATGTGTGTACATGGGCGTAGGAACCGGTCCGGCAGGCCCGGCGGTCGCCGGACCAATAATTTTCAATTTTTTTTAAAACATTTCAACCTTGTTGATGGCTTGTCGACTCTTGTACAGGTACCAAGTTTTACATCGACAATGCGGTGTATCATCAGCATGCATATTCTTATTTCTCATATTATTCTGTAGCATTAAAATATAGCCTTTTAGGCCCAATTTTCAAAAACATCCCGCGGGACGACCCCCGGACCCCCCCCCCCCCCCTCTCACAATTTCGCCGCACCAATATTAAACTGCTTCCTACGCCCCTGGTGTACATGACGGTATGTGATGATTGGTGTTGCGCATTGATGTGTTTGTGTGTGTGTGTGTGTGTGTGTGTGTGTGTGTGTGTTGCAGGTACATTCAAAGGTGCACTGTCCAATCCAATCTATCTCACTCTACTCGTCGTCTTGTTGATCCTTGCACTTCTTGCCATCGTGCTGGTTTCGATTCTCGTTCACCGATCTGTGATACAGCGCAATAGTCGCAAATCGCGTCTTGTCTCTCGCCAGAGCATGCCGCAACTCAGCGTCATGCAACAGGGGTACACTGAGACCAGAATTGACAATAACACATCAGACGGTGGCAGAGACGACGGTCGGCACAGCACTACCAACACTGGCCAACAGTCATCTGCTGGAGAGGATGTAGTACAAATGAACCCCTCTACCGATGGGTGACCTGGCGAAGATTGCCGCTTACTTCATACCTCAGGCCTAGGGGCGGTCATCTCCTAACCTTGTCAGCATTTGTTGTTTTGTTTTTGTTTCAGATTTACAGCCTCTCATACACACATATCCAGTTCAGTTAGAATTAGGCTGTGAGATCTTCTTTGAGCGGGCAGGAATGGCACCATCTCCCACGTAGGGAGCGACACAGAGATCTTCTTTGCATAAACTAAGATCCCGAATCGTTAATTATATAATTATAGGCTTTGAGATGTTTTTTTTTTAAATATTGTACTTCTAAATTGCTTGCTTAGAGCACTGAATACCGGCGTTACACCGTTGCTTGCTTAGAGCACTGAATACCGGCGTTACACCGCATGTCTCAACTGTGCTTACTCGTACCTTATATGTACCTTGCTGAGCTGTGCTAGATCTGTTGCTAGGCATGTTGCTAGGTCTGTTGCTAGGTGAAACCTGGGCTGTTCCTAGGTGAAACCCGACGAATTGACGGTACTGGCGTTCTAACCTAACTTGCAATCAGCTCTAGCTGCTCTCGTGTCGTGCAATGTTATCGCATGAGCTGATTGTAAAGTGGCTGGCGCTGTTAGCGGATGTTATGCGCAACTTGTCGCTCTTTGGTCCTCTTTCTTCTTATTAATCAATGCTTGGCTCTCCACCCGAGTCTAAATATGCCTAGGTTCTTGCAAACACACACAACCCAAACAAACATACACACACTCACCACACACCCATGCACACATACACACAAACACACACACATACACACGCACACTTGCACACACGCACACTTGCACACACGCACATGCGAATACATGTACATGTACATGTACTTATTCATGCTTTTACAGGGTCAGTTTATTATTTTGACGACAACGTCATAAAGCAGATCCTTTTTGCATTGCACACTTTTTCAAGGCAAATGCCCTCCATAGCTATCGATCTCTTATGCGAAACGCAAAAGTTTCATTTGCGGGTAGGTGGGTTGAGGAGAGTTTGCTTCATTCTGAAATTATTGATAGCTGAAGGGTCAATCCATTCTAGCTGTCAAGTCATTATATGTTTCGTTCAGGTGTGTGGATGGGTAGGGAGGGTCAAAACCAAACATTTCGTTCATTTCATACGGCTTGTTAAAGCACATTCAGGTAGAATGTCAGCAGGTCTTAGACTTAGGGTCGTAGTCCCCGGTCCAGCTGTTCAGGCCATGGCCTTAGCACCCAGGGTAGGGCCATTGCACCCATGCTAGGGCCGTTGCACCCAGGCTTGGGCCATTGCACCCAGGCTAGGGCCGTTGCACCCATGCTAGGGCCGTAGCACCCAGGCTAGGGCCGTTGCACCCAGGCTAGGGTCGTAGCACCTAGGTTAGGGCCGTAGCACCCAGGCTAAGGCCGTTGCACCAAGGTTAGGGCCGTACCACCCAGGCTAGGGCCGTAGCACGCAGGCTAGGGACGTAGCACCAAGGCTAGGGCCTTAGCACCAAGGCTAGGGCCGTAGCACCCGGACCAGCTGTTCAGGACTCAGGGGTGTAGCACCCGGTCAGGCCATGGTTGGACCTTATGTTGAACAAACGTCACCCACCCGTTGAGTGAAAACTAGGGGGGGGGGGGGGTTATGAATAATATTTATTTCCGGTGAAAGAATTCCATTTGGCCAGACCAGCTGAAATTCCTGTGCTACGGCCGAGTTCAGGGTGTGCGAAGAGGCAAAGATAAAACATAGGATTAACCGCTGGCGATCGGAATAACACCCACGGGAGGTTTCAGTACCGTGTTACCCTGGTAGCATTACACGAATTAATTAAACCTACCAGTCGCACAGCGTCCCATGCAGGATTGCAGCATAACGGGACGGGGATCCCAGTCCAGTCCTACAGCTTTCCACACAAGACTGCCGGGATAGTAACTCCAGTCAGACAGCTTTCCACACTAGAATGCCGGGATAGTAATTCCAGTCCTACAGCTTTCCACACAAGAATGCCGGGATAGTAACTCCAGTCAGACAGCTTTCCACACTAGAATGCCGGGATAGTAACTCCAGTCAGACAGCTTTCCACACTAGAATGCCGGGATAGTAACTCCAGTCAGACCTTTCCACACTAGAATGCCGGGATAGTAATTCCAGTCAGACAGCTTTCCACCCAAGAAGGCCGGGATAGTAATTCCAGTCCTACAGCTTTCCACACAAGAATGCCGGGATAGTAACTCCAGTCCTACAGCTTTCCACACAAGAATGCCGGGATAGTAATTCCAGTCCTACAGCTTTCCACCGATGTAAGACTAAGACGGCACTGCGTCAACAATGTCCGGGGATCCCCATGACACCATTCCATACAAGACGTCAGGGATGAAGATCCCAGTCGCAAACGATTCCACACAATCCTGCAGGGATGTGGCAAACCACTCCACAGGCTAGCCTACCTGTACATAGATGTGCCATAGACTCTACGTCCAAAGCTTTCCACACACGGAGATCCCATACAATGCCCACAGTTTTCACCAGAATATAATTGGATGGGCGAAGCCTTCATTCACAAATCACTGATAAACACCAATAATCAGTCTAATTTAATGCTCTAGCAAAAAAAATGGAAAATACATCGATAAAGGGATATAATATCAAAGCAAAGAATTCTCTTGCAGAAGTGGCGCATAGCAAAGCTAGAAGTAAACATTTCTCCCAGTGCCATGCAATACTGTTATTGTCTACATGCCCTTCACGTCACAGCACGTAAACTGTAGCGGCAGAGCCAGCCAACGCACACCTGCTGCGTGCGTGTATTTGCGTACGTGTGTGTGTGTGTGTGTGTGTGTGCGTGTGCGTGTGTGTGTTAGTGTTGTGTGTGTGTGTGTGTTAGTGTTGTGTGTGCACTGGGGTGCGTGCGTGTGTACTTGTGTATGTTGTGTATCAGATAGAGAAACATGACAACGGAAGACATCAAACATTGCCAGTATTAGCAGAGTATGATTGACATGTGATTCATGTAGTCAGGCATGCGCCCACAGTAAACAATGAATATAATTACAAGTATTGTATACAAGATAAAAAGCATGTATATAGCAGCAATGGAGTATGAGAGCACTTAGAAAAGGTAGAAACAGTAAAAAATTGAGTAAGGAAAAAAAGAGAACGTTTTCATCCCCCATTCTCAGATCTGAAGAGAACTCGTCAGGCCCGCCTCTAGCTATACCACCCTAGACAGTAGAACAGCATGATCTGATGATGCAATGGCCAACAGACAACAAAAGTCTTCGCAAGGCGATAAAAAACTGAGAATTTGTAGTGTAGTAAACCAAAGATCCTGGCTATACATGCTCTGAACATGGCGGTCTAATGAGAGAGCAATGGCAATTGGCAAGCAAGCTAACTAACACTGACAAGGAATATTCTGCGGCGAGCACTCATCTCAGAGCGTCCCCACCTGCGTACGGGTAGCAAGTAGATACAGGTTTCAGCAGAGATATGGACACTAAGTGCTCAGCTTAACCAGCTACAAATAGGTACGGGGTAAGCAACTACACACACACTTGCTTATGTCC